CTATAATTGCAAATTTTGATGTTCATATCGTCACATTTTAAATGAGGGGTGCTTGCGTCGTAGTAAAGTTTACGAGGAAACCAATGGAACCACTCTTAGAACCTCAAAAAGTTTTGTATAAACGGAGTTATAAGCGTTTCAGGTTTCCAAATTTTGTCCGACCTCTCCTATCGACTCAATCCACATGTGCGCTGTTTCATATTAACAAGGACATCAACGACGAAGGACAATTGATGAAAGTCTCTTTATAGGGAGAGTCATGTCATCTCGGGGGTTGGATGTCAATCACATGCGCGCAGAGAGATTATACAGTTAAGAACGTTTTGCGTAATCTTTGGCCTGTTTAGAATATCCGCACAGGGGGAGTAGGGAAATGGTCGGTAATTTTGATTTGACCAGGTCATAAAGCGGTTAGGGCCCAAAAGGGCAGCCAACCTATGAACTCAAATTATCCAGGATTATATAATTGCATTTGACACACCCGTCGTTTCAAACATTCTTAAAGCATGTACTAAACTTAGTTTTCTGCATGAATGCCCTAGCTTGTGCGTGAAGACGCTAGTTTAGGAACTATCTTGGCCAAATTGGTTTGTCATAAGAATACCGATGCCGGGATTTTATACCTTTCGGTATGAATTACCGATTCACCAGAAAATTTGCACACTTTTTCATTGAATTTTTCACAGAGTTTTATTCATAATTATTTCTCGTGTCCGTGAGAATTTTAAAGAAACTTACACTTTAACTTCTCCAAAATTGATCACTTTATCGGGAGAAATTTGGCAACGCTCGGATGTTTATACGTCGTTTTTTCTCAGCTGGTCAGTCTAGTTGTCGATTCGGGAGACATCGTTTCCCGCTTTAAATGAACGCTTTGGAGCTGAAAAAATATTGAGCGATGCTCGAATATTCCCTTTCGTCATCGTCGTTGGAAGAATCTGACTGATTACAGCTCGAATTTCCTCCATTCGCCTCCTTCTACCCATCCGTTGAATTTCGTATAGACTCCACC